AGCCACAGCCCCCAGATGACCCTAATTTATTCTCAGTATCCACCCTTCCAGGTCATTTGTATCTGCTTCCCGAGTGATCTGAACCACAGCCCCTCCCCAACCTCCTGCCTCCATCCCACCCCGCACCTCCCCGCCTGTCTTAAGGGAACAAGTCGTGCACAACCTCCAAGGTCGCCCTTCCTAGAAGATCACTGTCCCCAGCGGGCCAATAAACCAGGGTAGAGGAGGGACGTGGATACAGGATCTCGGGCCTACTACCCAAGCTAGTGTCCAAGAGTGGAGTTGGGAGGCCCCTCTCTGAGGTTCCAGTGGGCTACGAAGCATATGCTAATGTTCTACTGAGCGCAGTAGTAGGCCGGTTCCTCCCTCCCTCACTAATCATGCTCTGTTCAGGATCAGAACCAGCGGGGTTTGGAGGCTGAGGCCTTTAGGAAGACCCCAGACCCCAGGCTTATGGGAGGAAGGTGAGGCTGCGATGCGCTAGACCGCTCGCGCCCCTTCCTGGGTCTACCTGAAGGACTACAGGGACGTCAGGAACGGGGTGTTCCCTATGCCTAGACTACTTTCATCCACCCATAGGTCAAGGTCTTTTCTTCCCAGCAGCTCTGTTCTGCAGGGATTCCAGTCCTTGGCATCCTCCATCTCTCCACCCGCATGATTCCTCCCCACACACCCCATATTCCGTTTTGTTTAGTTGTGAATGCCACGTCCTGTCCTGGTGACAGGAGAACAAAGTTGGTGAACGTCGCACCGAGTGTCCGAGTGTTCCATGAGCCCCTGGGAACGGGCGGGGCGGGGGGGGACGGAAGCCCGGGCTGCCTGCGGTCCCAGGCGATAGTACCCTATCTGCCTCCGCAACGCCCTTGCGCGCCGGCTCGGAGTTATTTCTGGCCAGGCGGCAGAACTGTGGTCTGTTGCTGTAGACTCAGGCAGGCTCTCGGGCCAACGCCACTCCAGAACGAAGTAGGCCGCCATCCTCTCGCCATGGGCTCCCGTGAGTTCTGGGGTCGGGTCTGCAGCTTTCTAGAAGAGCCATGTCAGGAGGTGTTCTAGTTTGGGCGGCAATAGGCAAAAGCTTGGATCAGAGGTGGAGGGAAACTCCAGCCAGCGTTCAGGGTGGCTGGGGTGGAGGGACCTGCGGACTTGTGGGACACTGGCTCTAGGAGCTGGAGGGAGCAGCGCTGGCGTTCCCAGAGATGCTCCGGATTCATCCCAGCGCTTCTCTTCCAGGGCCGCGCGGGGCGCTCAGCCTGCTGCTGCTGCTGCTAGCGCCGCCCAGCCGCCCAGCCTCTGGCTGTCCCGCGCCGTGCAGCTGCGCAGGGACGCTCGTGGACTGTGGGCGCCGCGGGCTGACCTGGGCCTCGCTGCCGGCTGCCTTCCCTCCCGACACCACCGAATTGGTGCTGACCGGTAACAACCTGACGGCGCTGCCGCCCGGGCTTCTGGACACGCTGCCTGCGCTGCGCAGAGCGCACCTGGGCGCCAACCCCTGGCGCTGCGACTGCCGCTTATTGCCGCTGCGCGCCTGGCTGGCCGGCCGCCCGGAGCGCGCGCCCTACCGCGACCTGCGCTGTGTCGCGCCCCCGGCGCTGCGCGGCCGCTTGGTGCCCTACGTGGCGGAGGATGAGCTGCGGGCCGCGTGCGCGCCAGGCTTACTCTGCTGGGGAGCTCTGGTGGCGCAGCTAGCGCTGCTGGTCCTCGGGCTGCTACACGCGCTACTGCTGGCACTCCTACTGGGTCGCCTGCGGAAGCTGCGCACGCGCGCACGCTCCATCCGGGAGTTCTCTCTCACAGCCCCTCTGGTGGCGGAGTCGGCCCGAGGTGATGCATCCTAAGAAAAGACAGGCGCTGAGCAACAACGACCTGCAAACTTTACGGGTTCCTGCTGGAGGACCCTCGCCTTCACCTGGATCGGTCTTGGCCTCTACCCTTGCCCAACCTCCCAGACCCAAGCTCTGTAAGCCTGAATCCACATGGGGCCAAACTGTTGCCAGTACTACCAGAGTGAAGCAACCTTGAGTCTTCAGAGCCTAGAGTGGTGATGGAGCGGCCCAGTCCCTGCCAGACTCCGCACTGAATAAACCTTTCTCCTCCTCATCTGGCGGTTTCTGTACCACCCGACTTTGCCAAATGCTAGAAAGGGCCTGAGGGAGTGTTGTTAAAAGGGACATAATCACTTCTTCACACATTGCCAAACTGGTCTAGGGCAAACAGGAGTCAATGGATAAAACTCCCTGTACGCAGCTGTCTCCGAGGTCATTCGCAGTACGAATGCTGTGAATAGAGAGGCACTGAGGAAGCTTGAAACAGCACAGGCAGGCAGCTTCGTCCTCAGAGGGGTGGCTTGTGTGGACAACCGGGGCCATGAGAACTTTCAAGGACAGCCCAGGAGTTGAGGTGACCCTGCTGTGTGGACAGGTATTAGAGCACCCAGAGACAGATAGGGGTTGGGGTGACTCAAAAACAAGTGACTGTTGTCTGTGGCCCAGTGGGACTCCATGGGCCATTTCAGTCAGGAGGTGAACTGGGAAGGGTAGGCAAGGCCAAGTGACAGAAACATGATCTAAAGGCCTGCAGGTATGAGTTAGCCAGAGTCTCTGAAATGTGCTGTGGACTGAGTCAGGCCTCCTCCCACAACCCTGGACCCTCCAAGAATCCTCAGACCTTCCTATCCCACCTCACCAACTGACAGCCCAGCAGTCTCAGCCCTCCCGACAGTTCTCCCTGACAGAACACCACACATTACCCCAGACTCTGCCCAGGCCTTTACAGATGCTATTTCTAACCTGGTCCATGGCTCTCAAGCAAATGCCCTCCCTCACAGCTCAGGACAGAGAGCTCTTCCCGGGTCCTTATTGTCTGCCCCCTACTCTAGAACTGAAAAACTAGGTACTGTTTCCTCCCTGGGTACCCAAAGAAGCAGAATGGCACCTTCCCAGTATTGGAGCCAGCCTGGGTACCAGGCTCAGAGGTCCCCCTCCTGCTCACCTCTATAAATACTGGAAGCTTTTGTTCCTGACACTCTGCTGATCCTGATGAAGACCCTTGGGTCTGGGCACAGGAAAGCACTAGGCCTCCTCTGACCACCACGGACCAGGTCGAGGAGGCTGTAGCTGACACGGCCTTTGTCTCAGCCTTTGTGGGACAAGACAGATGACTCTCCAGTAGGCTGATGCTATCTAGAAGCTGCCAGTCAGACGTGAGGCATAAGCCACCCCCTCCTTTGTGGGCAGGTGCAGGGCATCCGGCCCATTGTGGACTGCACTGAACTGTGTACTTGTTCATCCGGCCTTATCAATGCATCAGGGACAGTGGTCCTCTTTGTTCACCCTCCCCAGGGGTGGCTTGTTACTGCCCAAACCCCTGGTTGAGGTACGCAGATAACACCTTAAAGACAGTTGAACACAGTGAGGGAGGGGCATCCCTTCTGGTTTTCATAGGAGCAAACCAGGTGTCAAGAAGTACCTCATGCTCCCATCCCTTTCTGTGGCTACAATGGAGCAGAGCTAAGACAAGCTCCCTGGGTGCTTTCCTCCTTGCTGACAACCTTTAGGGGACAGTTCAGGGGCCTAGCAGGAGCTCTGGAAGGAGCCTGGGCTCAGTTCACAATGCTCACAGGGCTTGAAGGCTCCAGGACCAGTGTCTTGCTGAGAGTCTGGATTTGGGAATCATGACGAACAAGGGCCACTGTCTTTCCGACCTTGTCCTGAAGGGGAAGGGCTCTCTAGCAAAGAAATGAGGCTGGCGTCACAGTGTATTCCAACAGGAGGGTGGACTTCCTGCTTGCTGGTTAATGGAGCAGCTGTACCCATAGCTCCTCCAGGAGACCCCTCTTGACGGGCTGGCTGGTGCCAAGACTCCAGCCTGGCCTCAGTGGCTGGCTCTTCTAGTGGCCTGGGAATTTCTCCAATTCTAACTCCTGACCCTAAGCTGACCCTCCATGTGCCTAGCCTGGGGTCTGAGCCTCCAACAAATGTGGGGAAGTAGATGGTCCCAGCTCAGTGCTCCTGAATGCACACTCCTCCTCAGCTCAGCCTCCACCATTGTCATCCACTTCAGAGACAACACACCTGCCCTGGAGTCTCCTCCCCAGCCACCAACTGGTCCCCTCTGTGGTCTGGAACTCCTCCCAGATGAGCATAAGTTACAGGGCCCCTCTCAAAAACCTATTTAATATAGCTACACAGACACATTCACATTCCCGGGCTGGCTGATTCTGAGTCCCTTCCTCTGGAGCTCAGAAGTCAGAGGTGACCACACCACACTGCCCACCCATCCCTTAGGCTCCCAAGACTTCAGCTTTAAAGGGAGGCCCAGCTTTTGTGTACTTGTCCCACTCTCTGCACCCACCACACCTGTGCCCACCACAGTGGGTCTGCCCTTGCTCCTGTGACCTTCATCCTTATACAAGACCCCAGTCGAACTAAGAGATTTCCTGCCTCCGCTAGTCCAACAAGGGGCATAGAGGTACATTTAGAGAGGTCAAGTCATGCGTTCAGCCTGTACTGCCATCCAGCCAAAGACTGCCAAGGAGCTGAATAGACGGCGTTCCAGTAAGGCGACACAAGGCCACCACCAGCCTAGGCATAGACAGAGTGCTGACCTCCCGCACAGAGCCTCTATCTCATTGTGGAATAGACACGTGCTGCGGGAGAAGGGGGCTTCGGCCCTCTTGTTTTTTCAACTGCCTGTTGATGAGCCCAGCCTTTTCCCTCAAGCACCATGACCCCCGACTGGCACCAGAGAGCGCTAGCGATCCGTAAAAGACGCAGAGCTCTCCGCGCATAGGAGGTTAGGGACGCCCGAGCAGTCCACCATGGGAGCGGAAGACCGTCCAGACTGCACCGAGAGGAGTTGGCAGGTCATTCCCTCCGGGGATGGAGAGGAGGGCACTGTGAGGTCGCTGACAGACGGGAAGAAGATGAGTGCAGTCCCCCTTCCTCCTATCCTTTGGCACACTGACAACCGGTCAACCGCAAAGATAAGGGACCTCTTCCGCCTGGCGGGAAGGACTTGGGCCAATTCAGGTTCAGCCCCTACCCGATATTTGCTCCGTAAACATTCATTGACCCCCGCTGTGTGCATTGTGAGGGGGGTGGGGCTGACGATAATTTGCGCTGGACTCCCGCCATTTCTATGAGGGGAAAGCCCAAAGACTCAGAAAAGGAGGTTCGGACATCTCTAGGCCACCCTGATTACCAGGGTAGCATTGGAGTTTCTCCATGTGTCTTCTATAGCCTGGAGAAGCCTCGAAACTGGGCTGACCTGCTTGAAGTCACCACAAGGAGGATGCCCTGGGAAAGGTGTGGGGGCCCACCAGACTAGCCACGTAGGAGGGGGAGGCCCGCACCCGCTGCCCAGACGGAGCAACAACATTGGGGTGGGTGGCCCATAGCTCACGGCAGCGTCTGCGCCCACCCCCAGCGTTTCCGATGGAAGACAGGCGGCAAGTGATAAATCACCAGCTCCCACTCCCACCCACCCAGGGCTAAACTGGTGGGCAAGGGCCGTGTGTCACAGAGAAAAGGCCTGTGACACAGATAGGAGACAGGCTAGAGCTAGAGGCCTTCTGACACCAGCCAATACCTTGCTGGGGTGTCTGAGTTCCCCAGGTACCCTTTCCATAAAGCCCATCTGGAAACCAGCTGAGAACCATCTCCACCATACCGACCCCAACTTGAGGTGTGTGCAGTGCCTCCACAGCAAACTTCATTTCCCCCGGGAGGACCATAAATCAGCAGGGGGCACTTGGAGTAGTGCCCCCAGTAGAGTGAGGGTCTTCGGGGGTCACTGATCCTAGTGACTAGGCCTGGCCTTGGCTATGTCTCTCCCTTCTTAAACAGCTCTTGTGGGACCTCCCAGCCCCCAACTTTTCCTGGACAGTATGTTCTCCCCTGGAGCCTTCCATACCGTGTTCTCTCTATAATGGCTGCACAAGCTTTCTGAGTTCTTTCTTGACTTTTCTTGTGACAAGAAAAGGTTCTAGGGTTCTGTCACAGAAAATGTCCATTCCTCCTTCCATTCTGTCTTCCGGTCAGAGTGCTGAGGGCTGGCTGGACAAAGAGTGCTGAGAGATAAGTCAAGTAGGGCCCCCAGGTGTCACACACACACACACACACACACCAAGGCAAGTGTGAAGTCAGTTGCAGTAGGAGAGGCTGATGAGGGCCCAAGGCTAGGCTCTGAGCACTGCAGGACTCAGGCCACTGCCTATTTCCCCAGGCCACACAGGGCTCCCCTCAGGGCCCATGAGTGGAGTCAAGGTCACTTTTATGCACTAAAAGCAAAACAGATTTCCCTTGTAACTTGTCTCTGAAATGGGGTTGGGGGTATCCAAGGGGCTCCTTCCTGGAAAGACCTTGAGAACCCTTAAGATTATGCCTGAGAGACACTGTATGGCTGTGGCTGTCCTAGGTGTTGACCCTCAGAACAAACTCTCAAGTCAATCACTAGAGACATCTCAGAAGAGGGACAGTGGGGGTTGAGGCTGGAAGTTAAGGCTAGGGCTCAGGTCTTTTGGCCTCAGACTCAGTGAAGGTCCGTGCTCTATCCCCCATGGCCAGCTCCTCCTTCGCCTGCTGGGATAACTCTCACTGCAGTGACCCTGGGTGGCTTACCTAGCTGTTTGTCTAAGTATACCAAATGCATCAGGAGCTCTGGACCTGGATGATCCATGCATGGCAGAAGGGTGCAAGGACATCTTCCACAGAAGCCTGTCCTCTCTCCACCCAGGGTGTGGCTCTGTCTCCTGTATCACACAAGACCCTGGGGCTAGCTCCATGAGGTTACTGAGTCCCCAAGTGGGTAACAGAACACTTAAGGGTTAAAAGGGGACTGATGACTCCCAAGCTGTTGTGAGCAGAGGCCCAGAGAAATAACTCAGCACAGCCACTGATTTGTGTAGGTAAACCTCAGGAGCCCAATACTGAGGAAAACCATGTGGAAGCTGAGGAGATTTGGTGAGATAGAGGCAGGACCCCAGGCAGCACTGGCCAGTGGAGCTGTCCAAGACCTCTGCTGTCTGGAGGGACATTGGTGAAGGGTTTGGAACTTCTACTTTGAGAAGGTGCCTGCAGGCAGGCCAAAGGCGAACTCTG